AGTGAATAGCGTGTTGTGGCATTTTGTTACTGTTGACAGTGAATAGCTTGTTGTGGCATTTTGTTACTGTTGACAGTGAATAGCTTGTTGTGGCATTTTGTTACTGTTGACATGATGGTGAAACTTATCTCCAGTTCTACAGACTTCGATTTTGACCTTTTTTTTTACTTGTTGGAGTTCACTTCAGTGTAATCAAGAAAGAAATTACCATTTTAAGAAGGGTATATTCATGGTGGTGTGAAATGTGTTTTAAATCTCTAATAAAACTAAAAAAAAAATGTTGTTTAAAAACAAGACAATCTTGTATTGTTGTCTATGTTTGGAAGAATAGGGGAGTATACAAAAGGTCATGGTAATCTTATGTTGAAAGGCATTTCAAGTATAGTTTGACATGTCCTCAGTTTTCATCTGAACATTTTTTTAAATATAATCCCATAACTAATTTTAAAAAACAAAAACCTAGTAGCAAAAATTAATATACTTTTATAATACTTAACCATTAATGGGAAGGAAGTGATTGTTTTTTCTGACACAACTGAATACCTGATTTGATTTTTATCAATTTGAAGGGAAGGAAACACTGGCGAGTCTAAAAGCAAAGAGAGTCGTGTGTAAATGTATGGTGGAAGTTCAGGTTGAGTTTATTGAAAATTACACAATTTTTATGCTGATTTTATCATGTATGATCAACATTAGTTCCACAAACCACCAGTGGTACACGTACCACTCTCAGAACCCCTATTATCAGTGATTGTAAGCATGGGTGGGGGTCTCTTGCCACACTCTAGGTTATAAGTGTGTTGATATTATGACTGAAAGAGAGACTTGTTTCTATAACAACCAAGGAGATTCTCCAGAACTTTTATTGATGATTTGAGGTTTATTAATTTTTAACACTATTGTGTGATTTAATTTTCTTTTTGGATATTTTCATCTGGAGCATTAAAACATTGTAAAAACAGTTTCTTGACTCAAAGATGTAAAGGCTAGATGTTAGTCAAATTCCTATATTTAAGTATTTTTAACTTCCTGAAATGAACAGAATGTTACATAAAAGCTTTTTACTTACTTAACATTTGCTTCTTCTATTAAACATGCCCTATGGTTGTATTAGTGTATTCTGTAGGCTCGGTTTAACAAAGAATGTTTTATTTGAACTCATCCATTTAATTCTAGTTTAAACAAGTTTTATAAGTTGATGTATCATTATTATTACTCACCTCACCCATGATAAATATTTATTGCATAACCTTGTTCTCTATGAAGCAAGTAGACGATGGTAGCATCTAGTGTTAGTAAAAGGGGGGTGTAACTGATTTGAAGCTGGAAAAACACGTTATTTCTTGTGGTATTGTCTTAAACTTTATAGGAATACCAAATTTTGTTTTGAATTTGATAAAAGGAGTTAGTTATTCATGCCAAAAGGAATGGTGAGTGGTGTTTATTTTTTGTTTTAATTAAAAAATGTAAAAAAAATTGTTTACAAAATTTCTCTTCAAACTATTCAGATTGTATTTACTAATCAATTTATTGTATAGTAAGACTTTTGACAGTCCATATTTGGGAATGGTATTAATATCACACCATTTCAATATATCAATGTGCAAATATTTTAAAAATTTTAATTTCATATTTCAGTTCTGTTATTGCAAAGTATTTATTAACCTTTGTATTATATTGTCTAATTGTCAACAGACTACTGTTGAATAATGTTTTAAAACAACTTGAGGGTTCCGTTTTAAAAATCTTGTAGCAAGCTATGATATGTTTAATTGTAATCGTTTTATTTTCCACACACACAGAGTTAAAATAAGTTGTATTAATTCTTTCTTTTAGATGGGTTTTCTGATGACATCTTTTCACACATATTTGGAGGAGGTCTGTTTGGAGGCATGGGCATGGGATTTGGTGGTGGACGTCGAAGAAAACAAAGAGGAGAAGACACAGTTCATCCCTTGAAGTATGGTATTTGATGATTTTACAGAAGTAATCTGGAATGTTCCAAACGTTTATTCTTAGGAACAAAGCACTGTTTCTCAACTATCGATCATAATTGTGATCAGTGAATCAAAATTAAAACTGTGGAAAACTTGAGGGGAGACAGGTTAATATTTTTCCCAGTCTTGAATCAAGGCACTTTACAGTGTCTACTGGTTGACAACAGTGCTTTAGTAGTATGGTTTTAACATGCTTTCTTTGCTCCTTTTTTTTTCTCCTCCGTTGTCATGACCCAAAATTCTTCCTGCACCTTTCTTTGACACATATTTGAAAGTATATTTACACTTAGGAAAACTTGTACTCCGTAATGATGATGATATTAATGGGTTATCACGTTCTGTAGGTATTGGTAGAACGATTCATTTCTTCTCTAAAGAAACAGTAAAATGCTTAACTTGAATGTTTACCAAGTTTCCTTACAGATATTGGATGAGCTTGGTGATTTTGAAGTATATACAAATTGACAAAAATAGTGATATAAAACTTAAATCATTAAATCACAAGAAGATAAGGTTTTAATAATATAATTCTAATTGTTTAACTTTTTTCTTTTTCAGGGTTTCTCTAGAAGATTTGTATAATGGCAAAACAACAAAGCTGCAACTTAGTAAAACTGTAATATGCTCTACTTGTTATGGGTGAGAATAGTGTTTTTTTATGAATATAAATAATACTGTGTACTTACTGTAATCAACTTATATTTGGTTAAACATTAGTTTAACTGAAATTGAATACTTTAGTATGAATGATTTAACCCTATATGCACTGCACGGTCAAAGTGTACATGTCATGACCTTTTATAGAGTTGCATTCAAAATTTAAATAAATTAATTTTTAACCCTGTGTGCGTGTAGTCAGTCCATTGTATCGATTCCAGTTTTGTAGAATCAATACTTGCTCCAATATTGAATTATAAAAGCTTTTAGTAACCGTGAAAAGTCTGTTGTACGAAAAAATTATAATCAGATATTGTAATAAAGTATTTGAACTAAATATTTGTATGTGAATTTGCCAAGTTTGTTTGCCATAGAATGAGTAGTTTGAGTGAATAGTGATCTTTGTACTAAGAATATAGATACTTCTTCTAAACATAGTTTTCATATTTCATTTGCACACCTCCCTTAAAGCTCCTAAAAGAATATCACAAGTTTTTGGTAAATATTTATACCTTATTCCTTATTTTCTCTGAACTAACACTAATTGTAAGGAAACCAGCAGTACAGAGTAAAATGAAAGTTAAAAAATATATAATAAATCTAAATTACCCTTTTAGAATGACTGCATATTGTAACAGACAGGTTATGCCCTATTTATTCTTACAGCCAAAGCTAGTAGACTTCAAATCTGGGTTCATTTAGTTTTATTGCTTTACAGCTGCACTTGGATGGTCTGGAGGCATACTGAAAGCCATTTATTACAGCCAAATGATCTATTTATAAGCATGCCATAGTCAAACTAAAATCACTGGTGTGGTGTGTTGTATACATGTTACTGTGAGAAATGTTTACTTGTTTTTTTCATCTGATAATTTTAATTTTTACATTTCAGTTACTTTTATGACAATAAATAAAAAAAAACATACATAAAATACAAGAAACTTCGTTCTTATGTCTGGACTCTGTCTTTTTGCTATTGGTAGACAAAGCACTCTAGGACTACTTTTTGTACAGGTGTTGGTAGTTCATGATATGATTAAATCTACTAAAATTTAACTGGCTTTCTAACTAAACTATAAATAGGTTAAAAAAACTCTGTTAGCATCACAAAAGCATAGAATGAAAGTGAGATTAAATATTTCCAAACCTGGTGTCTGAAGGAACTAGCATCATAAGGAATCTTGTAAACAGAAGGATCTGCTCTTTCTGTTAGTTATAAATAATACAATGTCCTAGATTTACTGAAATATTTTGTAATATAAGAGGGGTGTGGCAGGTGGATTTGACTTTCTTGTTTATATTTCAGTAAACCAACAAACTTGGAGGCTGTAAGTTTACTTTATGGCTTAACATTATCTATGCTATAAGATTTAACTTGTACAAAACTCTGAATATCGTATAGGGGTAAAAAGAAAGCCTAGAATTGGAAGTTCAGAGTGGAAAAATGTCGCACGATAGAGAGAAGCGAAGACTGAGAATTTATTTAAGTGTTTCCTTTTGAAATTAAGTTTTGAATATGAAATTGCGTTTTAATGCCAAGTTTATTTGCATACATTGATAATTTGAGTGTAACTCTAAAAAAAGCTGTGACATATGCATCTTGACCACGACACATGCTGTCATTCTGTCTTTCAAAAAATATCAATAATCCTTTCTGACATTGCTGTTGGATCAATAGAAAGAACAACTTTTTATTTACAACACTATTTTTACTGTTACTTCACCGTAAATAGACATTTAACCTCAGTTTCGTTGTTTGTGATTGTTCTGTTCTGAGCAGCTAACAGTAGTTTTGAGACGTTCTATTCTAGTGCCTGATATATTTTTTTTGTGTTCTAAGATACGTATCTAAAAGAAACTAACGATTTTATGGAGAATCAACATAGCGGGAAAACAACCTAGTGCAAAGAAAGTATTCCCTCGAGTAAAAATTACTGAAATAGGCTTCAACTCTAATGAATGTCCAAAATGTTTTGTTTTTATGTATTACTATAAATATTTTTTAACAAAAGTAGCTAAAACATGAAGATTAGAAACTTGTTAGGTGATTAACTAAAAATAGTGATGGAAAATAATCTCACGAGACCAGCCAGAGCTAAGTACATTGTGGTGTTGTAATTTTATCAGTTGTTTATACTCATTTCTTGCACTGTAGTTAATTGCCTTTCTCATAATTATATAGGGTCTAAAGGGCATTGTAAAGTAATAAAATTAAAAATTGAGCACACGTGAAAAGGTTGGATAGCTGAAGCAGTTTGGATAGACAACTAACGATTTGTTATAATCTGTGATACTTCTTTTAAAAAAGAAGGTAATTGATTTTAATTCATATTTTTCAATTTTTCATTTCAATGTATACTGATTTCACTACAATCAATGTTGGGAGAGAGAGAGAGAAGAGAAAGCAAAGTATAGAATTTACCAAAACTTGTTTATTTAGTAGGTTCGATTGATTATGAAAATTGCTTGATGAAAAAAAAGGATTTTTATTCTTATCAGAATGACACAATAATGGCTTGATAAATTCATGGACAAATCCTTGTATAAGTACTATATTATAAAATTGGTCTTTCAACAGACTGTTTACTAATGACATGTAAAATTTGTAAATTCATAATTGTAGTAAACATTACTATATATAGCTTACACAAATAGGGTCCAACGGACTGATGCCATTGACAGAAGGTTAAATTATCATCAATTCAAAGTAAGCCGTGACAGTTTCAATATACTACAAATTTCTTGTGAAACGAGCATTATCAAAATAAGATATTTATTTTCTACTAGTGTTAAATGAAAGATCCATAACTGTATATTAATAGGATGATTCCATCAGCATTATATCTTATATTTCAGCATCTTTTTTACTGTCTGATAGATATTATCTGAGAAATCTCATTATATTGACTGAAATGATGATTAACCTCTACCACAAAAATAAAAAGTTGATTATAAATTTATACTGTAATTGTGAATTTTTTTTTTTTCTAACAAAGCAAAGATTATGTGCTGTTTTCTGTGAAATTATCACTTTCCTGGGAAGGTTTCCTTTCTTAATAAAATGTCATTGTATGTCTAAAGCTCCAGTTGGAAGGATATATTGGTGTAAAGAGCCTATGATTATTATTATTATCATTATCAGGGAAGGCGGTAAACGTGGATCGTCACAGCCGTGTCGAAACTGCCATGGACAAGGTATTAAAGTGACTCTTCGGCAATTGGGGCCAGGCATGGTTCAGCAAATGCAGTCTGTCTGCTCTGATTGTAGAGGTGAAGGTAAGGTGGTCTAGTTTTATCTCTCTTTCACTATTAAAACATTAACTGCGATCATAATAATTAACTTTCCCATGTGTGTGGAGTTGTTTGTTAAGTAGCCTAAATTTTGTGTGATCGTCACTTGTTTATTTCCATGGATAAAAATATTGTTCCGATTTAATAATTAGAAAAGTGAATGAAAATATTTTCACGAGATCAGTTCGATCTAAGTGCATCGTTGTAACTTTATCAGTTGTTTACACTCAGTTCTTGCACCATAGTTTATTGCCTTTCTCATAATTATATAAGATCTAAAAGGCATCGTAAGGTAATAAAATTTAAAGCAAGCATATGTGAATAGGTTTGAAAACTGAGGCAGTTTGGGTAAATAATTGTAACTGTTTGTTATAATATGTGATAATTCCAAAAAAAAAAAACTTTTCATGCTGAATCTGAGTCAGGATTCCCATGTACCTTTTATTGATTGTATTAGGTTCATAGGTTAGAAACTGTTATAGTTTTTGTAGCAACTTGCTTCTTATTATTTGTTTCACACTGAGTTTCAAAGAACCGTAATTCAGAAATATGTTTCTCTCAACCAGTAACTTTTGTATGAGCATATATTCTTCAGTTTTAAACTGTTAAAACATGTTTTTCTGAGTGTCATCTTTAACTTGGTCCATGTGTGAGTTGAATTTGAAACTGAATATATAATATATGTAAGAAATAAGATGATTACGTATATCCTGTTGTATACGTATTGAATAAAAAACAACATTTGATAGTAGTTTCGATTACAAAGATATTTTTAATGGTAACAAACCTTTTCTTTTTTTTTTACTGGATGAGATTAATACACTGAATATTTTTCTGTTGAAAAAATAAACTCGTCTATTGTACAGTAGAGATAGAAATTTAGAATTTAAAACAAAAACGTTTTTTTTTATTACTTTACTTTAATAACCATTAAAGATATAAAAATACATTTTTATATGTTAAAATCTGACTCTTTAAACTGTGCCATTCTGGTAATTAGCTGTTGTTTGTTTACCCCGTGTTATTAAGCCTAATCACACTTAAAGTTTTTCGTATTGTATAGCATCAGTACTATTTTATTTTAAATGCCCGAGTAAGATAGTTACAGTATTTCAGAGGATATCGTATAGATAGTAATCTTACTATATTTCTGTAATTTTTAAAGGAGAAGTAATCAATGAGAGAGATCGCTGTAAGATCTGTAAAGGTAACAAAACTGTAAGTGAGAAGAAAATTTTGGAAGTCTATGTCGATAAAGGAATGCAGGATGGACAAAGGATACAGTTTAAAGGTGAAGGGGATCAAAAGGTAAACAAGTATGTTTCAGGAATAGCATGAAAATGTGACGTAGTGCAGATTGTACCCAGATACTTGTAGTGTAAAGTAAAGTTTTACAACATGTCTTATTTATTTAACACTTGAATCAAATACATAGCAGGGAAGCACTTTAATGAAGAAGCCAAGTTTTGAAAAGTAACAGTTGAGGTTTTTCTGATTACTAAATAAAACAGTAAAGCATGGGAGAACGAGGCTAATGAGGGGAAGTTATTACTTATACAGGGTATTTAAATATGCTTTCATAAACATGATTCCAATGTATATGTTTTATCACACTGGTTCTTACTTACATTACAAAGACCTTGTTTTATCTGCAGTCTGACTTCTGCTCAGGAAATAGAAGTAAAGTTGATATAGAAATATTAAAATTATTCTGGGAGGCTCTTAAATAATTATTTTTATAAGTTACACAGGAAATAAAAAATTATCAGGATTCCAAAAAAAACATGAGTGATGAGAATATAAAAAACCCAATCAGTTTGAGGCTTGTAACATAGCGTGAAGGTTGATTTAAACTTTACAAGTTAATTTTCAAAACTTGTAGTCATTTCAAAGATGTTGTTGGTTGTACAAATCAGATGTCGGCATCCTGGGATTCAGTTTATAGCAATATGTTATATAAAATTTTGATAGCAGAAGGTTTTAACAACCTGCTTGATCGGGGACTTGACTCATATTTCAATAATCTGTAGTTGTGTAGTTTCATGATCTTGAAGTCATAATTTGTGGAATGTGAAGTCAAAGCTCAACAGACTAGCATTTAAAAATTGCAGGAACAGTTGGTATACTTTTGTGCTTAAAAATCATATATATATAAATCTTTTAATTATATGTTTCAATATTACTTAAGGTTGTTTTCAAACTTCATTTGGAAAGTATAAAAAATTGCATATAAGAAAACAATACTTAACTCTGTAACTATGGAAAAGTATTTATTGGATGTGGTTTAAAAAAAAACATTAGTACCAAGAGGTCATGATTGTTGCTTTAGGATGGAATGGTTGTTGCTCTCTTGCTATTTTTGGACTCGTTTGTTTAAATTAAAAATATAAAATAAAAATGCCATTATATATTTCCTCTTTCAGCCAGGGATGGAGCCTGGAGATGTCTTAATTATTCTTCAGGAGAAACCACACACGTACTTCCAAAGGAACGGCAATGACCTGTACATGAGCCACAAGATCAACCTCACCGAAGCACTTTGTGGCTTTTCTGTGGCTGTAAAACACTTAGATGGACGTGATTTGATAATCAGACATCTTCCAGGCGAAGTCATTAAACCAGGTTGGGTTTGTGCTTCGCTTCAAATATAATGATTAATAGAATTACTTAATCTTCAGACTATCTGGAATTGACTCTTCTGAATTTTAGTTTATAACACGTACATGTTTAAGAAATTTAAAATTAATTATGGATTGAATCTACATTGGTCACTTGGTGTCCTATATGTATACATACACAGACACATAAGTCAGTAGTTCTGATACTGTCAAATATATTTGTAAATAGGTGGTCAAATCAACAATATAAAACAATAATGAGACCAAAAAATCAAATTATTTTTCAATTACCAGTCCTTATTATCATTGACTTGTATATAATATTTTTATTGTTCAAGATTGACACACATGCAAATATTAGGTTTTTATTAAAACTAGCATTCTACGTGTTAGGCCTAGTGTAAGGAAAGAATAATTGGGTTACTTTAGTTCTTAATTTTTGAAATATTCAGGATAAAATTTTAAATATTGGTAAATATGGTAGGTTGCAACACATTATCATAAATGTCACTGAATGAAATGTTGTGTTATTGTAAAAGACCCCAAAACTAGCACTTTCGAGTAGTTGACTTTTTTACTCCTTATAAAAAAAATGATCAACTCTTTGAAAGTGCTCGATTTTTTGATGGTGGTTTTTTATTTTCTGTGTGCTAATTTTTTCATCAGAAATTAAATAATATTACTTGTTTTATTTAATAACCACAATTTAGATCTGTAATACTACAGAAATTGTGTTGAGCTTGGATTGTTTATCAATTTAGATGTCCCATAATCTAAAAACTAACAAAGAAAAAAGGACTGAATAATATAAATGTATGACTATTTAAACCATTTTACGAGAAAGGCATGAAAGTCTGGGCACCAAAATGTGAAAAAATAAACCAGCATTCTATCAAATTTCTTTGAGTTAGCATGTAAGAAAATTTTGCGAAGTTTTTAACTTTGGGAGGAGAAGGATCAGATGGTAACACTGGGTATAGAGAAACTGATTGCACAAGGATTTAAAATAGTGATATTTTGTAAATATAAAACGTATATTATCATGAAAATATAGTTGCACCCAAAAGAAACTCTTGGATTTGTAGCTTACACTTGCATGTTTGTTTAATGTCGAGGCTAGACAGTCCAGATATAATGAGCACTTAGAGTTGGTTGGAACTAGTCTTATTTACATTGATTTTTATCCCACTTCTTCATCAGGCACGTTGAAGGGTGTTCAAGGAGAAGGAATGCCCATTTACAGGGATCCTTTTGAGAGAGGAAATCTGTACGTTAAACTTGATGTTGAGTTCCCGTCGGATCATTTTCTGGATGAAGAAAATCTTGAGGTAAGAATTAACTCGAAAGCCATTAAATACACGTGCTTGTTACATTCAGTTATCCCAACTGGCCGTTTTGACGTGTTATTTATTTTATGAAACTTAATTGTATTTTTAGTTTTGTGACTAAAAAAATACTTAGTAATTTAACAAATTATTTACAGAAGGTTTGTGATATTTGTAAACAAAGTTCCACTACACCGTAATTGGCGTAAACAACTTAGTAATATTTAAAGTTCCTTTTGTGATCCCGTAGCACCTATCAAGAAGTGAAACGTTTATTGTTTTTCAACCTCACCTTTCAGCTGCTGGAGAAGCTGCTACCTGATCGGCCACTGTCCAATATTCCCGAAGGTGAACACGTAGAAGAAGTTGACCTCCATGACTATGACCCCAACACCAGTAGACAAGGAAGCCACAGTAGGAGCAGGATATCGGAGGCTTACGACTCCGACGAAGAGGGTGGAGTACACATGGGGCCTGGGGTTCAGTGTACACATCAATAGTAGATAAACCTTGTAATCATTGGTTTTGTGATAGTTTCATTTAAAATTTTAGTGCACATTTTCTTCCTCAAATGACAAGGGGAAGAAAGCAGATGTGTTAATGATGTTTCCAATACTCTCTCTTGTATATGTGGGCCTTGCTTGCACTCCTGGAATATCTGTAACATGAAATTTCTGGACATTTGTTTTTAAAAGTGTTGGCAATAAATTTCATTTCTGGTGAATACAATGTAGACTTTGTGTAATATGTCCTTTAACCCTAGAAATAATATGGGATCGGTATGGACTCTTATTAGTATTTTAAAAAACCAAACAAAATACATGTATAAACATCCATTTTTCAATTAATTTCACTAATTACTGTTAGTCCCCACGTGAATTTTACATGAAAATTAGTGGTTTCTTCTAGTTTTTTTTTTTACAAATAAAATTTTATAAAATGCAAAAACCTAAAATTGCATATTGGAAGGAAAGAACGTTACTACATAAAACAAAATTATATCCGAAACCGGGATCTTAAAAAAAATATTACATGTTCGTGAGTATAGTTATAGAATCCACGATGGTTTTATATTTCATCTCGGAAAATAGTACTTTCACAGGGCTGTGGTTGACCTAGCTCCAATAATAACACACAATCAAAGGAGACCTTAACACTAACTAATAAAAGTACACTTTTAATAAAAAATATAATAATAATTTCTCATTTTGAATTTAATTTTTCATAAAATATCAAATTTTTAGTTAATACCTTTAAATTCTCGGAATTCTAAATTTAGCAAAACAATTTAGGCTTATTGTAGGAATATTAAATAGAACAGTCGAGAGATGGCAGCAGGGTCGACAACATTATGCACTTTTTTTTTTTTTTAACTGTCTTGTTCCTGCAAATTTGATCAACAGATCGTAAAAGAATTAAACACAATTGAACGTATGCATACTATTATCAAGAGTTCAGTAATACTGAAAGAAACTCCACGAAAAACCATTAAGTTTTAACAGATCGGCTTAAAAGGAAATTGAGAAAGATGTATAAAAACTTAATAAAATAAAATATGTATTAACGTAGAAGTAGCCGACAAGACATACATGTTCTTGTAATTCTGCCTGAGAACATTATGAACTCAGTAGGATTAAGTAAATGAAATTATAATACAAGTGTACAGTAGTTGATACACAAGTCATATTATATTTGACCTTTTAAAGTGCTGTTTTTTTTAGAATGACACTAACGATTTTAAATCCTGGTCGCCACTACTTCCAGTGGCGTGTCTTTTTAAACGCCAGTCACTGAAAAATATGAAACCTCCTAACTGAAGTTTCCACATAAATGTCGTTTCTTCCTGTCGTACATAGAAATCGAAGGGCTTCATCCTGTCCCCCCGAATATACTTGTTAACTTCAATAAGGTCATCTCTTATCAATGTTGTCTCAAGAGAGAGAGAAAAAAAAGATATTTTAACATTTGCATCTTCGGTATTATTGTGGTAGTTTCCATTTTCAACAGGTGAGTATCCTTGCTTGGATAAGTAAACCAGAACTCTACACATTATTTAAAATGATGTGGAACTAGTCATTTATAATAAAGATATAGTTTACTCTTTTTTTTGGGCTTGTAATCAATAAATATATGTAAATACACCCTGAAATTATTTTACGGTTATACTTTAATACCTCAAAATGTTCCATTTTTTTGTTTTACTTGTTATGATTTACTCTTCACATTTGAAAATAAATATTTTAACAATTTTACGTTTCTAGCAAAATCTGCAATACATTTAAGAAAAAGATTGGATCAAAATGGTTAAAGACAGAGAGAGATAAGTCCCGATTAAGGTCCTTTTTATTTTTTCAGAAGTCCACAATTTTAATCAATAGTCATCGACTTTATCCTATACGTCACAAAAGTCTGATGCTTATCAGATTGCTAAGTATGCATCTTCACTTGGGGCAATGAAAATTTTGGTGTATATCCCCACAAACCAGTAACACGATCTTAGTTGTCAAGAAATATTTTTTCCCTTAGACATTGAAAAGTTTGGTGTTCAGCCCTGCAAAGTAGTAACAGACATTATTTTGACCGTCTCATCGGGAGCTGCTGGGACTGTCTCACGTGATACGAATTATATGCACTATTTGCTATAAAACTCAACTAAGTAAGTGGCCCCATTATAAGTCTCTGCACCAGAGCCACAGTAACCCTGGCGCAAGGCCTGTGTGTGTGTGTCGTTTTGTGTAGCATTTTGTAACAAAATTGTATTATTACAGCATCTGTCTGCTACTCCTGTAACTATTATCTGTAGGTTTAAAAGAGCGGGAAATGTAAACCTGGACCAGGGCCAATTATTGTATGGTTCAGAAATAACGATAAAATAAAAATATTGTTAACACTACTACTACTGTATTGACTTTTCATACTTCGTATTATGAGGCTTTCCAAGTGATTAAAAGTGGATAGTAGATTAGTTATTAACTTACAAAGTAATAAACGACTTTATTAGGGTTCAGGTATGTTGCGATTTAAACAAATATATTAAGATATTTCAACGTATTTACTAACAAATCTTTAGGTTACCATTCAATCATATATGTAATGTTCAATAAGTAGGTTTTAGTCTTGTTTTAAAATTTACGAATATTATTTGTATAAATATTTAGGATTAGCCTAAATCTTATTTTTTGGTAGACCTTGTTAAGTATTATTGGGTTTACGGCCGAAAATATCGCTTGTAGTAAATGTACTCATCTGATGAATCTTAATTAGTTTAAACATAAAATTACTGTTGTTTTTTTTTTGTTGTTGTTGTTGTAACTTGTCTAATAATATTATATTCTAAAATTACCTACGTTATTTATTAAATTGTAATTTTTTCTAATCTTTTTTGGTGCAGAAATTATTAATAAAAACATTATTATCCAAAGGCGATTAAATACCCTCGCTCCTCGGTGGCCAAGCAAAATATAATAATACTCTGCATTCATCTGCTAGACCCAAAGCGATTCGGCGAACATAATTTACGCGACCTTTAGTCAACTTTCCGATGACACAGCGTTAACGTAACAACACCCACTCGCGATCTCCAAGCTTGTAGCTAGTGACGAGCGGCGGCGCAAGGCAATAACTAGAGGCTTATCTGACGCTAAGTAGTTTTTTCATATTACGTAGTAAGCGGCTTGTGAGTTTGTGATTTTAATTGTGTGAAGATTTGTAAACATTACATAAACGTTAAATTAAAAAAAAGTCCTGTTCAATTTTTAAAAGTGTGGAATGACTCATGCTGACGCACAGAAAGACGCAGTTCGAACACCATTACGTCATTACAGATTTGAATGCGTCATTGGACACTTACAGTATTCGAAGAAGCGTACTAAATTATGCAAAACGTTTTAAAAAGGAAATAAGTTTTTACGTCACGTATCAAATATAACTATAGAATAAAGATTTCCTGTTGTTGTTTATGTATTCAAATGTAAACAAATATAACAACGAATGACTGTAGTCTTTTAGACTGTTGATCCAGCTGTGTGACAAAAACTGCGTGTATTTATGTTAGAGAACAAGGCACTTTTCTACATCTACTCGTTAGCTTTACTGTTACATAAATAAAGTCAAGCTCGATATGCAACAACAATAAAAAAATAAACGTATATTTCGAAATGTTTATTGTTAAAAAGGTTCCTTTTGAGGACAGTGTAAAGAAGTAGTTGCTACCGTGTCACGTGATCTCCATCACAGTCAGACTCGCCAAAAGTACAAGTGTAGAATATTGGACTTATTTCTCACACGGATTTGACTTCACATATCCTAATAAATAAAACAGACTCCACCTGGTGTTTAAACCGTGTATTATACTATAGTAATAAACACTTTAAATAATAGCTCTAATGTTAGGAACAACGAAAACCTTATTTGAATTTTTTTTCACATAACTCTTACAATTACACCTTCCGACGTTCGGTTACTATACTGATAAATGTGCTCGTGCTCAGGTTATTTAACGTGAGATAAGAAGCTCCAAATAATGTTGTTTTTGCGCTGACCAGGCACGCCAAGAAACACACACATTTATTTAATATGTAGTTACATAACCTCCTTGTCTTTGACGATGTTTTAACACAACTATTCACACAAAGTGATATAAAAAATGCCACACATAAAATACAGACAAAAAAACACTAGGGTATAAACTATAGCAGCGGTGTACAACACGGTCGCCACATGTGGCGAATTGGTGCTTTACTTCTACCACCTATGTCAGATTTCTCGTTAATTCTATTAATAAATAATTGAAAATATTATTGTGTATTTTAATACCCCCTCTATATCTATAAAAACATAGTTAATTTTTTTGTCATGTGGCGAAAATGTCAACACATTCTCCACAATTATGAAGAAACTGTTAGACACCGCTGAACTATAATATAGGAAAGAGAGATATAAGTTAAGTACGGGCCCTCACAGTAGTAACTGTACAACGTGTACTACAGACATTCTTATTAATGATTCTATGCGTGAAAGTAGATAACCGTGCCTAAGTCCAAAATGTCCCACATTTGAAACTGCCTTCTACTGTCTCTGGTCAGATACTACTGATGAAACCGGAATGTAAAAGCAAATTTAAAATCAAAATAGTTTACTACAACCTACCTCCTGAAGTTGTGAGAATAAGAACCATTTCGAACAACTGGCTGTAGCATCTACTCGAGGACTATCTGCGCTGGCTGTCCCTGATTTTGAAGAGGTAGGCTACATTGAAGGCAGCTAGTCAACACCACCCATCGCTAACTCTTGGCTACTCTTTACCAACGAATAATGGAATCTACCGTCACATCATAATGCCACCGTGGTTGAAAGGGCGAGCATGTTCGGCGACGGGTTTCTATCTCGCGAGTCGAGCGCCTCAAACCACCAATCCAAGTATTTAGAAACGGAAGGTTCTCTGAATTTGTCTGCAGAGTGTAAATGAGTTGAACTCAACCAGAGGGAAACAAAAGCCGGATACAGTTTTTACAATGAATTGAACTCAACCAGAGGGAAACAGAAGCCGGATACAGTTTTTACAATGAGTTGAACTCAACCAGAGGGAAACAGAAGCCGGATACAGTTTTTACAATGAATTGAACTCAACCAGAGGGAAACAGCCGGATACAGTTTTACAATGAGTTGAACTCAACCAGAGGGAAACAGACGCCAGATATAGTTTTTTATACTGTAGACAGTTTATTTCA